TTACGTTACTATCTGAATACACCACTATTATAATTTTTCCTAAAAAAGTATTTTAGTTACAACCATTTACGTAATGTTGACATTTCTAACTTTTCAAAAGTTCCCTTCCACGGGAGCAAATTTTAGTTTCCTCCTGTACACAGCTGTGGGTGGAAAGTGAATAAAAATTTTATTACTTTTACAAAATTTTTATTACTTTTACAAAATGTTGTGGTTGTTAATAAAATTTTATATCTACTAACCAAAATTTCATTCTTGTCTAGTGAACTTTTAGTCAACCTCAGCGCTCTAATCACTATATAAATCTCTCGACAGTAATGAATAGGGATGGGATATTTAGGTACTAAAAACTGAAATATAGGTAACTAAAAAGGTACTAAAAAAAGCATTTTAGGTTAAAAAAACAGCATTTTAGGTAAAAAAAAACATTAAAAGTTTAAGTTTCGTTTATAAATTTGTTTAGCCGCATACCCAAACACAGAACATACCCACAATAAACTATTTCCATGCAATAAACTGTGTTTTACTGAGTGACACTCACTACACAGAAGTTCTATGACAGAACATAAGCTCACTAGTAGTGAGTCACTACAAAGAAGGTAACTGTAAAGAAAGTTACTGTTACAGTCTGCAACCATAAGAAAAAATTCTATACCGTTGAGTTGCACGTCCTGGATAAAATATTGGCGCAAATTTTAAAAAGAACAAAAAAAATAAAATAAGTAAAAATACGCAAAAATAGGTAACAAATATGTGAAAATAAACTGACAAATTATAAAATATGTTACAAAAGTATAAAAAGGTAGTTTAAAGCAAAAACCTTCAAAAAAGGTAAAAAAGGTGAAAACAAGTTAGGTTCATATAAAAGAAAATCTTTTAAAACACATTTTGGCATTATTGGTTTTCAAATAGTTACATCGGTTAAAAAAAGGTAAAATAACTAAAAACCCATCCCTAGTAATGAAACACTTCCCACGGTGGGAATCCCACCTCGCTATGTCCTTTGAAGTTCAAATTGACATTGAAAATTATTGAGGGGCTCCCTCATTTTGCTCTGCCCCCAAGTCACTTAAGCCCAAGCTCCGGCCCTGGTTATATTAGATTATATAAATAATTACCTAACCTTGAAAAACTAAGTTTGTATCAATTTTAATTAAATAGCTGCTAATTAATTATGTTAAAACCTTATGCGTCCACTAATTTAATGTGAAAAACAAGTTTTTTTTAAATTAAGCACCATTAAAATAAAATAAATCCCGGCGAATTATTTATTTTTTAAATGTGGGTTCTGGGCATCTATTTAATATTTCTTAAGAAAAAAATATGGCTAATAAATATTGTTTTTTTTGTCATGTTTTAATTTAATCGTCTAATTTCAAAAGCGGCCATCTCCAATTTTTTTTTAAATAAGTTATTTACACTAATAAAATCGAAATATTACGTAGTATATTAGTGCAAAATTATATTCCAACAAAAACGCCTATTTGCAAGGAAAATAATTCATTAAAGTTTTATGTTAGTTTTAATAACGGCCATCTCCATTGATGTTTTAAGTACAAAAATGTACTTAAAATGTCCATTTCCCTTTTGAAATATATGTTTTTTTAATTAAAACTTAAATCTGGTTACTTATTTTGTAGAAAAAATATTTTTAGTTACCATATGAACAAGTTTTTCAAAATATATTTATTTTTTACCCATTACTGTTTAGAATGTTTTTTTTGACGTTTACCTAAGTACTTAAAATATTCTTCAAAGGAGATGGCCGCTTTTGAAATTAGACGATTCAATTAACGCATTTGTAAAATACCATTTTGTTGTTTTTATGAAATAGTATATTATTATATTATTTTTATGTGTAATAAATTATTACACATAAAAATTACTAATAATATAAAGCTGATATATTACTAATATATCAGCTTTAAAAACCTGAAGCGTTGCCATTTTTTTGTAATTCAAATGCTTAATAAACAAAAACCAGTCGCCAGAAAAAAAATATTTTTATACTTAACGTGGTATGGCATTAGTGTGCCATTTTCGAAACATTCGAACAAACAAACAAAATTTATCATGCTGATAATTTATCAGTGATAAAGAATTCCAAGATAAACCTTATCTATTGAAGATTAATAAATTCGTAAGAGCTGTTATAGCCTATAACTTATAGGTACTTACTTACAGTAGCGTGCCGTATAGTTGGCCAGGGGGGGCGGCGGCCCCCCCGCCCTTTTCACAGACCGCATTTGGCGCCCTAATTAGTTGACAATTTTGTATCAAATAAAAAAATGTTGTTTTTAAGAAAGTTCGCCCCCTCCGCCCTTAGACCCACGGCACGCTACTGCTTACTTATTACTAAGCTTTTATTTTTTAATTTTTTATATAGGTACACACCCATTTTAATATTTTTTTATAATAAATAATTAAACCTTATTAATTTAAAATATATCATCTTTTTAACATAGGTATATCAGTTTTTACCATGCATTAAACAAAATTGTTCTCGAGATATTTTAAGGCAAACAAATTTAACATACAATTTTGGAGATATTTTACAATATTATATTATACAATGTATGTATGTATAATATACATACTTTTATAAATTTAGTATCTATACATATAAAAGTTTAGCGTTTCAGAAGGTAAATTTTAATTAAATTGCGAATGCGCCGTTATCATTCTTCTCATCCCTACTGTAGAATAAAATATAAGTTTTAATTTTTAATACCTATACAGGATTTAGATATTTAAATTAAAATTTTATTTTAATTTGGTTTAACCTTATTACAATTTTGGTGTAAACTTTTTGAAAACAATGAAATAAATTAATTAAATAATGCACATAAATTATAAAATATTCCCATTGTTAATAACTACCTACACACCAACACAACTTAAACTACTTTAAGTTACTAACCTAAAAAAATTATAAAACAGAAGTTGGCTAAATGGTAGTATATTTTAATTTTATGTGGAAAATACGATACTAAAATATGCTAAATGTTTATCAACTTAAAACCCACATTATTTGTTTTTATTGATAAGGTTTATCAACATCAGTTTTTTTTTACAAAAATTGTTATTGTCATTATTTAAAACATTATTTAGAAATATTTATAGAAACGATGAAATCCAATTAAGACAGCCTCTATTATGGAATGATATGTAGGTAACACTACTTGTTTTTCACAATTTTATTTAGAATGCTATTATTGTTTTTTACACTTTATACCTATATTTTTTTAAATAAAATTATACACTGGCTTCCTTAAAATTATAATGTCAACGTTTATAAATACATAAAAGTTTAATTTTATTCCACCTTAAATAAATGTATTTCCTCCTCATGCCACCAAATTTAAATAATTATGTTGTAGAATAAACTTTATATGATATAAAATAATCAATGCATATTTAATGTACCTATCTAATTAATTAATGTAATGCAATGCATGGAAACGATAACACCATAGATATAATTAAAGAATGGACACATTTTTTATTTTTAACAAAAAATACATTTTTCTAATCATATTAAAAATACGTTCATTTCCTATACGTTTCAATTGAGAAAGTGGCTCAGTCTTAAACTGTGAAAATATTGATCTCTTTCTCCACGGCTACTATCTAGGTTACAGTCCAATGAGACGACGAGATTTTAATTTTCTCCAAGGTAGTATTTATAATGACGATTATACGGTAGTTCTATCTCGTTTCGCGCATACTAAAAATCACTCCACTTGGAGTGTTAACACTTCACACAACGGCTTCCATTTTTGTTTACAATTCTTGTGCTTTTGGTTTGTGCTGTTTAATAATCGTTTTAAACGTTGTGTTTTTACAAAGGCACTTGTAAGCCGCAAATGAAGCCTTAAAGTGCCAAGGACAACCATTTTACTGCTATTTTATAAAAAATAAACCTTATTCTATCAGCGCTGTCAAATGTCAATTTGAAGGTTAATTTGTGGGTTATAAATTAACCTTACAATTGACATTTGACAGTTTGATGACAGCCTTGATAGAAAAAGGTTTATTTTTTTACAAAAGAGGAGTTCAAGTGCCTCTGAAGAAACACAACGTTTAAAACGATTATTAATCTGTATAAAAAGCACGAATCCAAAGCACGAGTATTGTAAACAACAAAAATGGCCGCCGTTAAACTCTGTGCAGGGTTGCAGTGATTTTTAGAATGCGCGAAACGAGATAAAACAGACCTTGTTGTATGGATTTTTCGGTAGTTTATTATTTTCTTAAAAATCGGTGGTTATGGTAATTACACAAAATTATTTAATAAAATTTAAAAAAGTATAGTGTTCAACTCTTGAGAAATGGCCATTTCCATTCTGATGAATTACTCCCACTGGCCTACGCATAAATTTCATCCTTATGAAAATAACCATCTTTTTCAATCGTTGAACAATATACTATTGTCCAACCTTATTTAACAGTTTTTTAAACGTAAATACCTGTAAACTTATTAAAAGTTACTTTTACATCATATTTATTATTATTAAGTGTCAAAATAACAAGTTTTTGTCCACTGAACGTATGTCTTTTACATTCGTTGCAATATCTATTTGTGTATTAATACACAAATAGATATATCACTTGCGCTCTTAATTAAGAGCGCAACTGATATATTGTCGCTATGAGCGAGAAGTATGACGCGCGACGCGTATACGCGGAGGGCGACTATCTCGCGAAAGCGAGACATGGAGTTATTGCGCTATTTTCGGGCCACAATAAAAAAAATTATAGACTGAATTTAGGGATGTTTCGTTCCATTAAAAAGAACGATACGAAAAGCAACCACAAAGTATCGATACCTACGATACAGTATCGTAATAGAAGAAATATCGATCCCAAATATCAACACTTTTAATACAGACCATATATTAAAATGCTGTATTAATATATTTTTTTAATATTACTTATAACTATAGGTAATTATTTATAAATGTATTCTTTTAAATTAAATTGTTTTAATAGATTTGTACCTTTTCTGCCTTGAGGAACTGAAAAACTTAAATCCTGAAATTCCAAATTAACCAGCGGCCTAGCAGTGATGTGCGTGAGCGTTTTTTTGGCACTATTTTGCGAATTTCCCTCCATCTCGCCGCACTTTCACTTGTTATTTTTTTTAAATTTCCCCGAACGCAAAATTTTAGTTTTACAGCGGGCTCGGCGAAAGTTTACGTTTATCGGCGGCTACGTTGATAGCGCTACGTCGTTCGTTAGTCAACTAAATTTAAAAACATTGTGCATTTTACTGTAGATGAGCCGCATTCCCCTTCCTGTTGAGTAGGCTCTGGAGTTAATTTATATAAATAAACAAAAGATATGTGCACCAGTGAGCACGCAATTCGTGGGTAAATGACTTCTGAACTCGGCCGAAAAGTAGAGCGCACTTAATGCTTCAATTCTTAGTTAATGTGGACCTTGGTTGTGGTAAAATAATAAAAATTGAGGCTATTTAACCATAATTGCTATGCTTGATTTTTGTTATTTTTTTACAGTGGGTTGCCAAATTAGGGACAGTAGCAATTTTTTCCAAGTTCCAAGTTTGAATGGATTTAGAGAGAAAAATAAGTGTTTTTTCTTAAGTTTTTTATTTTGTATATTTGCTGTGGGTACGATATTTTTTCCAGATATTATACAGGGTATTTATATATCCTGTAAAAAATGGCAATTTTTTAAATCGCTTTAAAGATAAAAAAAAATTATTTAATCCAACATTCTATATTTTTAGAATATATTTTCTTGTTGTATATTAAATCTATCCACACATAAAAATTGTCAGAAATTGCTGATGTCGCTATAAAAAGGAAAGAAAACATCAAGATTTACAGTAGCGCTGCAGAAAATAATACAGGGAAGAGCAAAAAGAATTACGTGCACTTTCAAGTATCTATATTTAAATATTTAAATAACCTTTTGTATCTATACTACTATACACACTACAGGAAGGGCAACGGGGCAGTGCCCTCCTGAGTCCCCCCGATGCTACTCAAAAACATGATATTTAATTATTTTATTTGTAATGTTACAGCCTAACAAACTTTTTAAATGTAATTCTCAATATTAACTTTAGGACGGTTAATACGGGTAAACTTTTTTAGGATGGATAGTTACAAGCCGGGCGGATTTAAATCCGACGTATCGATGAAGGCGGGGATTTGCGGCGTGCGGGCGGAATATATCTGTTTCAGTAGCCGCCAGCCATCATAATCGTGCAAAATAGTAAGATGCCCGTCAGCGCGTTCTTTTGAGAAAGGTCAAAGTCAAAAATCTCGCCGGTCGTCGTGTCGTGGTACGTGTTATTGTTTTCTGTTATTTTTAAAATGGAGATAAATACCGCAGATTGTATAATTACTTGTGGGCAGTTCTACGGAGCATGGTCGATTCGTGATATTCACCACTGGAGATCATAAATTAGTTTAAAACTATTTTTCTTTGGTTGCGGTTTGCAGGCCCGTTCCTGGCGAGCGTGCAGTGCGTGCACGCACGCAGGCGCAACATTTCGGGGGCGCAAAATCAAAGAGTCAATCAGTACTTTGTAACGATAATCTTTCTTGCATATGATACTTAAACATACATTGGATAAAGGTTTCTGCCTTTTTTGCGTCGGCCGCTCTTTTTTTCGGTCGCTATAAAGCGCCTTTTGCCGCTTTGATATTGGCTGCTTATTTTGTTTTGATATGAGGATTAAAATAAAAGGAGAGAAATGGTCATATTATCTTTAGTATTTGTTTGATAGTTGCAGTTGACGCGTCATGACGGTAGCAAAGTTTAACAGTAGTAACTCTCTATTTTATAAAATAGAATTAGTCAAACATGACTAATTCAATTAGTCTAATTGCAATAGCGAAAAAGCAGCGACTAATAATTATTGTCAATAGCCATTTCTATCCCCGATATTTAGCAGTCAACTCCTATGTAAAATTGTCCGCTGAATCCGAAAATGTCGTCAAAAGTTATAAAAGTAGAACGTTTTTGAGATTTAGTAAATTTTCCATATAATATGGTATTGATTATATCTTAAAAACTGCTTCACTTTTATAATTTTTGACGGTATTTTCGGATTCAGGGGACAATTTAAAATTTTTACATAATAATAAGCTGTTAAATGCCCGGGATACAAATTGCTGTGGACTAAAGTTATTAGTGACTGCTTTTTTACTTTGAAAACTAGTCATTTTTAGAGAGTACGTCACTTAAAACCAGTTGTAGTTATTATATTGTTTAGATTGTTTTTTTTTTGTTTTCTTCAGAGTATTTTTATCACTGACTATTTCCCTCGTCTTAATATCCACCAATCACAAACGCGCAATTTTGAATTACAAATGGTTTCTAGGTAAAAAAACTGTGTGACAGCACCTGTCAGCAGTTTATTCGAGTTTACCCGCGGCAAAACTTGACAGCTGTTGTCACCAAAAATTGCAATTTATATTTTAATTGTTAACTGTTAATCATGAAATAGTCTTGTCAAATACCATTCGGGCATCTAATTTTTCCTGTGAAAAAAATCGAAAAAACACAATGCTAAGTAATATTTTTTAACAAAATGCATTCGTGCAGGTGCAAAAATCCTTCTCTTCGACTCGGATTTTTGTTGCCACCAGCACTCATGCTTTTTGTTAAAATATTACTTAGCAACGTGTTTTTTCGATTCTTTTCGGAAAAATTAAATGCCCTTATGATATTACTTACGAAAAAACTGTGTGACAGCACCTGTCAGCAGTTTATTCGAGTTTACCCGCGGCAAAACTTGACAGGTGTTGTCACCAAAAATTGCTATTTATATTTTAATTGTTAACTGTTAATCATGAAATAGTCTTGTCAAATACCATTCGGGCATCTAATTTTTCCTGTGAAAAAAATCGAAAAAACACAATGCTAAGTAAGTAATATTTTTTAACAAAATGCATTCGTGCAGGTGCAAAAATCCTTCTCTTCGACTCGGATTTTTGTTGCCACCAGCACTCATGCTTTTTGTTAAAATATTACTTAGCAACGTGTTTTTTCGATTCTTTTCGGAAAAATTAAATGCCCTTATGATATTACTTACGAAAAAACTGTGTGACAGCACCTGTCAGCAGTTTATTCGAGTTTACCCGCGGCAAAACTTGACAGGTGTTGTCACCAAAAATTGCTATTTATATTTTAATTGTTAACTGTTACTCATGAAATAGTCTTGTCAAATACCATTCGGGCATCTAATTTTTCCTGTGAAAAAAATCGAAAAAACACAATGCTAAGTAATATTTTTTAACAAAAAGCATTCGTGCAGGTGTAAAAATCCTCCTCTTCGACTCGGATTTTTGTTGCCACCAGCACTCATGCTTCTTGTTAAAATATTACTAATAAGTAATATTTTAGCAAAGTGTTTTTTCGATTTTTTTCGAAAAAATTAGATGCCCTTATGATATTACTTACGACTATTTCCCTCGTCTTAATTTCCACCAATCACAAACGCGCAATTTTGAACTACAAATGGTTTCTAGGTGGAAAAACTGTATGACAGCACCTGTCAGCAGTTTTTTCGAGTTTACCCGCGGCAAAACTTGACAGCTGTTGTCCAAAAATTATATGTTAATTGTTAACTGTTACTATAGTATATGTTATATGAAATAGTCTTGTCAAATACCATTAGGGCATCTAACTTTTCCTGTGAAAAAAATCGTCTTCGACTCGGATTTTTGTTACTTAGGAACGTGTTTTTTCGATTTTTTTCGGAAAAAATAGATGCCGTTATGTTATTTTCAATTAAATATTGCCAGTTTGTCCCAAAATATATATTTTTTAAATTTTACGGCCTAAAATTCAAATATTTAATTAAATTATTTAATTAATTTATTTAAATATAAAAGGGGTGCACCAACGAATGCTGCACGCAGGCGCCAGGCACCCCAGGAACGGGCCTGGCGGTTTGTTCATATTAGTCTATTGTGAGTAAACCTTTGATAAAAACTTAAATTTAAAAAACAATTTTCTTTAGAAGCAGTTTTTTATCGTTCAAACTCCAGACCGTCACGCGTAACTTCACATGGTTTAGTCCTTTTGATGCATTAGTTTATACTTATCAAGATGGGTTTTTATCTTATACTTAGGGCCGGATTTAGGCATGGGCCACATGGGCCCGGGCCCAGGGCGGCAAATTTTTAGGGGCGGCAAATTTTGAAGGCCAGTTAAAATTTTGCTAAAAAATACACTAATTAAAACTATAAAAAGTTGGAAGAGAAGTTTTTTAATACATTAGATAATTTTATATCAGACTACACTATTATTCTGCGTAGTGCGTCACTGCGTAGAAGGGCGGCAGTCGATGTACACGAGGCGAGTGGGGCGCGACTCTAGCTTATTCGCTGAGTCATTCGTTATTCGGGGTAATGATGCGTTGGGCGGCAAATTCGTAAATCCGGCCCTGCTTATACTACGAATAATATTATAATAAGATGTCCCAAATGTGATGGCAAATTAAAATTTTTGTGATAACTCAACCCATTTCTCAAATACAGCGCCTAAAACGTTTGTAACTGGATTGTTACTCAAGACCATCACATTGCTTTTATTAGTTCTAAATTTATTCGCAAGGATTACTACTCACCAATACGGGGTTGGTATCATATGTCTTTAGTCGTAAATGGTATGGCTAAAAAGTAGTGTCGCGCTGTGAGTTAAAGTTATAAAATTGTGTTTATTTTTGCGGTAAGTACAAATTTGGTAAACTTTTATGTTTCTTAACAGTGACACTGTTTAGTTTATTATGCAAGTTTCAAAAGGTACCAAAATATTTTTTTATTTTAAGCTTCTTGTTGTTCATTGTTTGGCTAACACCACTTTTCCACTGCGGTTAATAAATAAATACTAGGCGCGAATTTTGTATCGTGGTCCTCAAGACCGTCACCATCGAGACCGTCACTCTACGTCAAACTTTAAGAGTGATGGTCTTGAGGAACCTTGTGACGGTGGTTTCCGCTTAGAATTTTACTGTACTTATACTCAAGTGTATTTCTACCTTCTTTTATGGAGATACGGACGTTATTTAAAATAGATAGCAGGATAGCAATGGAACAAAGTAAAAACAATCTAGCATGCTTAAACTAAAAAATTAATTAAAAGTAATCAGAGAAGAAGCGCATCTCAAATTTATTAAAAAACAAAATAAGGCAAATATTCTAAAAAAGAATACCTAATAAAAAAAAGTAGAAAAAGAGATAAAGCATGTATAAA